CTCTTTAATTTCTTACTTGTTTTGATCAAGTTTGTGTGCTTGTATATAGTAAGCTGAACAGTTAATTTGAAGACAACATTATGCAATGTAACAATCATTGTTAAATTTCTATCATTTTGTTTAGTGAAATTTCGTATCTTGTCTGATTTTTATTTTTAACTATTTCTTATTCTCTTTGAAAAATAAAATAAATTTAAAGAAAATAGATGCTTTGCTGCCATTGCTGGATTGAATGATCTGTGTATGCCATAGATTCATTTAATCTGAAGTATATTTAAAACCCTGTGGCTTTATTTTATGTCCAATGAAAGGAGAGCACTGTTTTCATGTTAGAGTCTGTTTTTCTCTCCAGATCTTATAACACTCACTTGACATGTTCATGTAGGTATTCCTCTGATTGGATGCATGCAGCCTTACTGTTGCTATCATTATGCAGACATCTTCTTTGTCTCATTTTACATGCTTTGATTTAAAATATATTTTGTCTCATTTAAATGTAGCTGTCCTGTCTATCTTTCAGATGCCCTTTGCATGGAATACCTTCTGAATAGCAAAATCAGTCTCTTGTAGACAGCACTTAGAAATTTTATTTTGTCCATTCAGTCACTCTGCCTTTGGATTAGATGATTTAGTCCCTTTAAATTCAGCATAATTATTGACACATAGGGACTTATTGCCATTTTGTTGTTTCTGGTTATTTTATGTTCTCTGTTGCTTTCTCTTTTTTGCCATCTATTATGTGATTAGATAGTCTCCTGTAATAATGCTTTTTTATCTTTGTTGCATCCTCTGTAAGTTCGTGCCTTGTGATTATCATGAGGCTTATAACTGTTATTAACTTAACTCTTACTCAAAATTCTGCACTTCTATTCCACTTTCTACTCTTTATTTTTCTGGTATCATGGTTAATATCTTTCTATAAAATTGTGAATCTTATAGCAAATTAACGTAAGTATTATTAAATTAATGTTCTCCTTTTTTATTTTTTCCATAATTTTATTGACAGACAAATAGCAATGAGATAGTTTCAAATCAAATTGGTATGACAGTTTCAATAATTAACACATTGCATACTCTCTTCCTAGTGGTTATTTTCTGTACAAGATGCAGACATGATATCCTATTCACAAACACTATTACAACAAATCCCTCTATTCATTAAGAGAATGTAACTGTATATCTATCCTAACCATTTTGAATACAGATACAAAATGGACATTCATCTGTATCCCCTTTTTTATTTAGTTCCATTATTTGAATATTATAGGTGTGTAAACTCAGCAAAATATTCTAAAAGAGTCCAGTACCCCATAATAGTATTGGGTCTTCCGCTTGCCTGGCAATGTCAGAAATTGTTGACCTGAGTCCCCTACAGCTCAACATAACAGCATGGCTTTACTTCTTATACTTCGTTTTTATACTTTTCTGCTGGATGGTTAAGACCAAGAAAAAGCAAGACCTATGCAACAAGAGTTGTAGCTTTTGGATCTGATAATTCCCCTCAGGAATTTTCCTGAGATCCTGTACCTCAGTTTGTAGATCCTTTGTCAGTGTCACCCATGCGGATGAGTCATGGCCATTGCTTGGCCAATGTGCTCTCTGTGAAAGGTTGAGAGAATGTTTTCTCTCCATGTGACTCTCCTTAGGCACACTCTACATCATTGATCACTTTCCTCTTTGGCCCCATAATCTCCTTGATCAGAAAATTTGGGACACTACTGAGTTCCATGATGTTACAGTACAAGTTCTCATATGTCCTGAGTCTTAATTGACCTTGGAAGGCTAGGGCCAAAATATTGGCTTTCCTTGCAGCCCTCCTTTTTCTCTAATTTTGGTCTGCAAACTTAGGTTGTTGACCATCCAGAAGAGAAGCTTATTGTTATTACCATACAACTTAGGCTGTTAAGCTTAACCTCACTACCTGTCTGAACATCAAACATCTTAGGCATAACATGGAACAGGTATTTTTCATCAAGTATTGATATGTTGAACTTTAAGTCCCTACAGAATATGATTTTTAATGTTCTCCTTTTAATTCTCATACTAAATATGTTATTTCATGCCACAGTTTCATTGTTAAGAATATTCTGAATATGACTGTGTGCATGTTTACCAGTGGGTTTTGTGTTTTCATTTCTTGCCATCTTTTTCCTTAAACTTTAGGCTTCATTTATTGTAAGCTAGTTCTGGAGGTGACAGGTTCTCTTGGCCTTTGTCTCTGTGTGAACTGTGTGGTCCTTCACTTCTAGAGGACAATTTTCCCTGTAAGTATTCTTGATTGCCATTTTTTTCTTCAACACTTTGCACATCATGTCTCCTAATTTATAAGAACTCTGCTGAGTGATCCTCTGTTGGCCTGGTGACATGTCTTCTGCTTTTCTCCTGCTGCTTTCAGAATCCTTTCTTTGTCTTTTAATTTGAACCATTTGATATGATGTTTCTATGCAGTCTTGATTGGGTTGAATGAAAATAAAGACTTTGTCTCTCCTGTATGCAGATATTTTCATACTTATATTTGGAAGACTTTCAGTTAATATTTATTTAAATAAGCATCCTTTTTCTTTTTCTCTCTTTTTTTACTCCTATAATTAGAATATTTGTTCTTTTGATTATGTCTCATAAATCATGTACACTTTATTTTCATTACTATTTTATTTTTCCACTTTCAAGTAATAGTTTTTCTTTTGCCTACTGAATTCTGTGTTGATATTGTCAATTGAATTTTTCATTTCATTTCATTTATTTTTCAGGTCTGTAATTTCTCTTTGCTCGTTTAGAAAACAATTTGAATTTATCTGATTTTTTTTTCTGTTTTGTTCATTTACTTATAGTTTTCCTGAGCTCCCTTAGATTATTTTAAATTATTTGGCAGAAGTTTCTATATTTGTATTTCTTTTGGGTCAGTACTAGGAGATGATTATGTTTCTTACAGTCATTTATATTCTTGGCTTTTCACTCTTCATTTATTTATACTGATGTCTGTGCACTTGGTAGTGCAGTCATCGCTTCCAGCCTTGACAGCTAGTTCTGCTGTGGAGAACCACTCCTTCCATGGTGCTGAACTTCTGGGTGGGCAGCGGCTCCCCAGCAGGGAGAGCTCAGTGGTAGTCAGGTCCCAGTTGGGCAGGCTGCTGTGGAGACACCAAGCACCCATGCGGCGCATGCCTGGGGCAGGCTATAGTGAGGGCTCTTGTAGCTCTCCCAGTTGCTCTCTGTGTCTACTAGCAGGGAATTTGTGTCTGAGCTGTCCCTTCAGTCATCGGGCTTAGTGGCCATGGGCCTGGGGTCTGAGGAGTGGAGCGTCCCCCAGGGCACAGGGCTTAGGAGGAAGATGGATACTGGGGACCTGCGGACCTGGGGAGCAGTGAGACTAGATTGACAGTAAACAAGGCACAGGTGCTTGCCATAATCAGGGGTTTGCTCAGTGCAAAGTTCCAGGGTCAGGGTGGGGCTTTACCCTCATCACATCTGACCTGGTGCCCTGCCACAGACACACTAAGGGACTGTGGCCCTGGGCCCACTGGAGAAAGCTCTCACATGGCCGTGGATGTTTGTGGAGTGGGCACTGCAGCCATTTAACCCATGACCAGATGGAGCGGCACCTACAGAGGGGCTGCAGCTTAAGGGTGGAGCATGTGGGCTTGGAAGGGTGGGTTCTCACTACCCACAGGCAATGGTGACCAGTGGTTCTTGAAGGGTGTATGGCCACTCTCAGAGAGGTGGGTTGTAAAGAGAAAATTTGTTTAGTTTCCAAGATCCATACATAGTTGACTGCACTTATTGGGCCACCTTTTTGAAGATTAAATGACTCTGGCTGTAAAAGAAAGTTCTTTCATTTATGTATTATTACAGTGGATAGATATGATAAATATGTTTTCAATACATTTCTTTGTTTTTTCCAATGGTAATACTTTTTTTAATGAACTTGAACAAATTTATAAGAAAAAAGTCCCTGGTTAGAATGTTTAGAATTGTTCTAGTGTACTTTGTAGAAGCCACTTCCTGCCTGTACAGTGGTGATAAGCACTCTGCTTACCTCCTAAGCATTCATGTCCCTAAACATTTCTTAATAAGTAGATAATAAATCCAGCTCTGATTTATCCTAATTGTGATGTTCTCTCCTGTAGCACTAGCCACTGTCCACTTCCTAAGCCTTTCCTACAGGAGCCTTAACTCCAGACCAGTTAAGTCCTGCAAGTCACATCTGTCCATGCCTTGAGTCCACACAGTCTAATGTTGCTTCCTTTTGATTTGTGTAGACTCAGGACAAGACCACACCTGGCTCACAAGCAGGTATTCTATCTCCTTTAGTGCTGAATTTTACATCAAATTATGGCCCTAAACTCCTATACTCAAGGCCAGCCTGGACTACATAGTGAGACTCTGTCTCAAAAACAAAATGCAAAAAACAATCCTATTTGCAAAGAACCTTATGTTATCATTGGCAAGAGTATCAACTGAATGTTCTTGGCAAAATAATAAATTTGACACCCAATATTTGAAAGGTTGCATATACTTTATACAAAATGCTTGGGCCCAAGTTACATGGAATTCACTTGGCTCATACCCATTTATATACATAGCCTAAAAGTAATGTTCTACCATGTGCATAGTGCACCTGCATTTTGCCTGCAGTCAGTCACATGGGATCAGAGATGGAGCTCTCCTCTTGTGTACCATTTTGGCACTTAACAATTTGGGATTTTAGAAAATTTTAGATTTTGGATTTTCAGTGTAAGGATGCATAATGTGTGTTGCTAGACTTCGAGGAAAGTTTAATAAACCATCAAGGAAAACATGCATTCATTATGATTACAGTGTCCTTAAAGAAAATTTTCTTTTGTTCTCCTCTCTATGAATCAGAAGGACAAGAACAGGAGTGTTAGGAAGAGCAGATGTTTGTACTTCGTGTGCAAGATTAATCTTATCATTTGACATCTTACTGAACTACTAATCTCCCCCCCACACTATTTTTCATGGATTTTGCTGTTTACTCATAGGTACAAGCGAGTTATGATGTGACCCGCTATGAGAATGTTCTCTCCCTGTTGTGGGTTTTGGAACAGATTCTTCAGAAAGAAAACAAAGAAGAGAGCACTGCAAGCATGGGGCATGATGACCACGAAATCAAGAAGTACCTTCAGGAGCACGAGGAAGCAGCCTTTCAGCTTTCTGATACATTTCCATTATTTGCTTTTTACTTATGGAGACTGGGTATTCTCTTAAACTCAGTAGGGACAAAAACTGTCAATAGTGACTCGCTTTCTCAGAGTTTTACCCTGTCTTAGAAGATCTCATTCTTAATTTTTCTCAAGAATATTTTAAATGAGCATTGTTAAATTGATCTCTAATTACAGGCAATAATTCAATTTATTGGTTAGTCTGAAATTATGTAAAAAGCATTATGGATCTTTTCTGTATGGATCAGTTATAGCCAAGGATTCTTTCCGTATTCCTGTGTAACTGTTCCTTGCAAAATGTGATTCGGCACAGTGAAGATCTTCCACTAGAGCACACACTTCAGTTGTGAGAAATTTCCATATGAGGTAACAATTTTAAAATTTTATCAACACTAAGTGTTGGTTACAAATGCAGGTTGTAAAACATTCTCTTATATAACTGCACTGAGATCATATTCATCTCAGGGAATATTAGGTAGAAGGTAAAAAGGTTTTAATATTTGGAAACCTAATGGATGTAGTTTCATATAAACAATATACTTGTCTTGTCTTTGCTTAAAGTGTTCAGTGTTGTTTTTCACCAAATATTTAGGAGCTGTAGTAGCACAGCGTGTTAACACGCAGTACTCAGGCAACAAAGATTTGCTCTGGTTCTATTGATTTAAATATGTTATAATAGCCATAAAAATGTAATATAATTAAACATTAGGACTACTAGCACTGTCCAGAAATTCATTTCATACTCATTAAAAATATTATTTCATTTACACAATTTCATTGACTTAGTCTTGTTAAAACTATAGTAAACCTAATGAGCACAATTTTATACTTTCCATTGGGGCAATTTAAGATACACCAAATGTAAATTTGCCTTATCCAAGTGTGTTATTGTTTTATAAATTGTCATTCTTAAGTGACATGATGATGAAAACCTTGCTGATGTCTTCTACAATGTACATATAGAATTAAATCATCTGTCGCAGTTACCTTTGCATTTATTTCTCACTTTCTTAAAAAGATACAGCCTTGGGTTGGGTTCATAGCTCAGCAATAGAGCAGGTAATTAGCATGCACCCCAAAAGAAAAACAGACATTTCTTTTGTAATCTGAAAGTCAGTATATGTCAGTCTTCTGTTGCTACATGGCAGTAACCACCGAGTCTCAGGGCTGTACAGTGAGTCACACTCACTGGGATGCGCGCGGTCACCCAGGATTAGCCGACTGGACTCTGCCGCACTGCTCTGCTCAGACTGCAGATGGCCCCTTGTTGAGTTCAGCTGCGACAGGCAAGTGTGCTGGGTCCAGGCCCAGGCCGACGCGGAAGCAGCTGTTCAGGGAAGCTGTTCAGGGAAGCTCTGCTTCTGGCGCCTGCAGTTGAGGAAGACCAAAGGGCGAAGCGAACAGGGCCCCACTGCTGCGCATGAGCCCTAGTGCATCCTGTAGTCGAGCCTGGGTGGGAGAGGAGGCAGTCTGCATGCACAGGGAGGCCTGCCACAAAGTTCCGTGTCCGGAGATTGGAGGCCGGCAAGTTAAACAAAAGGAGGGAACACTACTACTGCAGCCTGCCGTATACTGCTGGAATTAAGAACTCTGTGCTAGGGCCGAGAGCAGTGCATCCAGTCGCTGTTCTGGCTGGCTGCTGTGGAGGAAGGGGCTTCACAATGCCTGTAAACATGTATCTGCCACTCTTGTTCCATTGTCAGGGAAGAGGAGATGGAGGACTCATGCTGCATTTTGTGTAATGTTACCAACTGAGGCAGTCTGGAGAAGCCTTGGGAGGTGATTGCAGGAGCCAGTCTTAATAAGTAAATGGAGTTGACCCACCAGTATTTGCAGGGCAGCAACTTGAGTATTTTCTGGATTGTAGTATGTTGCTAACCAAGCCTCTTGCCACATTAGAGATATTTTTCTAAGAATCTTAAAAATTCAGCATTCCCTCCAAAGGAAGTGTGTGAACTATATATGCTGCAAAGTTCAGTGAAATAATGAGTGAAAACAAATGTCCTTGGGTATGTAAATAACCATTTATACATTATTTTATCCTTGAAATATTGGTCATACTTTTACTTATTTTTCAAATAGGAGACAACGTTTTGTGCATGCCAGATATTTGCACAAATAGAGAAGTATGCTGAGCATCTCTTAAACTTCTCAGTTCTCTTCTGTTTACCAAATAATGGGGGAAAAAAACCCTTTTAATGTTACTGAAAGCAAGTTCATTCTTGTCCACTTACAGAATTAGGCAGTATTAAATTTATCTGGGCAGGGGTTGGGGAGATGGCTCAATAGAATAAGCGCTTGCCTGGCAAGCTCAAGGGCCTGAGTTCAATCCCCAGTTCCGCAAAAATAAATAAATAAATAAATAAATTTATCTGGGCAATGAATGAGCTGCTGTGAAGACTTCTGAATGCAGGAGTACGGCACTATTGATGGAAAATTATTTCTGGATTGCATCTCTTGTTTTTTCATTCAATAGTCCTCTGTTCCCTTTAAAAAGAAAGCAGTTTTAAGGATCTATTACTAATAAGAAACAAAGTTTATAAGAAAAATCTAGGGTTTAACATCAAAATACTTCAGTTTTATAACTCAAAGGTATATATTCTGAATTCATAATATTTTGAAGCATTTTATTTTGATTTATTACCATCAGTTTTAATACAGCTGTGTGAAATGGTGGCGAACTTCTGATCTACTTCCATCGGTGTCCTGAAGTGCTCCACAGTCCATCCCTTGGCAGCAGTAGTGACAGGTAGTTGTATCAGCTTTGCTTCTCTCTGACCTGAAGAGAAATGGCAGTGCTCAGATGTGGGCTGCAGACCGAGCCGCAGCAGCAGTATCGCACACCCTGGAGCCTGTGAGGCATTCAGACCGAAAGCCTCCACTCAGGCCTTGCTCTGTAATCAGAAACGCTGGTGTCGCGCAGCGCAGCAGGCTGTTTCATCAGGCCCTCTGCGGGACTCTGATACCCCCAAAGGTGCACTCGTTGTGGCCGAAGGAGGAGGAGGGTTATGCACATGCAGATGTTCAGAAAGCTGTGATGCTGTCAATGAAAGTTACTTAAGCTTATTTGGCTTTCCCTGAATATGCCTTTGTTTTGTTTTTGTTTTATTTTGTTTTTTGCACTACCAGGGATTGAACTCAGGACCTTGTGCTCTCTCCCCAGGCCCTTTAAATTTCTAAGAAGGAAAATTTTTCCAATTATTCACTTAAGTAACAAAGTGATGAGTTTTAAAAACCTTTTTTAAATTAACATTTATAGTTAAATTTGGGGCCTTTTTCTAAAATATATAATGATTCCTTATTGGTAAAATTTTAAATTTTCATCTGAGTGTTAGGGATGTAAACTAATTATAGTTGTTTGCATTGGGAGTGGTCTAGAGTCATAAATGTACAGAGATATTCAAATCTGTTAGCTTGAGATAATGGTTATACCCCAGGAAACACCAGACTCTTCTTACTCCAGGAGACTTTTGTGCATATGATAGATGAAATTTGGTTATAAACATCGTTTTATTGCTCAGCCCTATACTCAGAGCTGCCCAGCAGCCATCCTTCTGGAATGTGGTGAGAAATAACTAAATAATAGGTGGCACCTACTCCAGATCTGCAACGTGGAGGCCTGGCTGTGTTCCTAGCTGCAGAGCTGCTCAAAGATGGCAGCCCTGACTTGGGGAGGAGCTGAGCTGCCCAAGGGTGGCTGCCCTGACTCAAGGGGAGGAGCAGAGCTTGAACAACTGATCTACCTTCCAGTCTTGTGCATGATTATTCATCCCAGGAACACTAGAGATGCCAGACAGCCTCAGGGAAAAGGATATATTTCTTATTTCTCACTCAAATTTAACATTCATTTTGTTAGGAGAGATTCAGAGCCTCTCCACATAAACCCTGGCGTTCAGGGGTAGCCCCTGACATTTCTCCTGCTGTGAGAGGCTGCATTCAGCAGCGGCAGTGCAAGCGGGGCCTTCTCACTCCACCCAGCATGGAGCACTCATCACAGCCTGGTCCCACTGACAGCCTCGGGGCCCCCCATCCCTGACTGCGTCACCGCTGGGCTTGGAGTTCATAGCTCACTACCTTCTCCCAGCCTATGACCAGGAAGTGCAGTTTACAACTACTTGCAAGACCTGTGTCTCAAGTTGATAAATTTAAAGAAGAGCAAGAGTGAAGAGGATGCAGCCACTGTACTTAGTAAACAAGAAGGGTAAAAATAACTAGAAATGAGAGGATGTCTTCAACTCCAGGTGAATATATGGTACTGCTCCCAAGTGAAAGTATAAGGCATACACAATTTCCAGGCATTCCTGGCTCACATGGTACTTTCATTTTACACAGAACATCTTGCACGCACATGCCACAAAGCCTTGCACCAGCACCTGATTGAGACAGGAAGTGACATACTTGACATTTACTGATCCCGTGCTCTAGGTGTGGCACCATACAAGGCTCTTCATGTTTGTGGCTTGGCTTTCTCCTACCAGTGTCTGAGGTAAGTAGCATGTTATCCTGTGTAAATGAGAATACAAGCACAGAGTGTATGGATAACTTGTGCAGGAAAAGTGCCAGGATGCCACTAGGCAAGATCTGGATCAGTGTCTGCACTCAGCTACAAGGAGCAGTAATGGATCTAATCAGAAGTGGAGACTCACTATAACCAGTGAAGTTACTCTGACAGAGAACTCTGGTTTGTACTCCGTAAAATGTTCTTTTTAGACATATGCAGGATGCAGTTGTGGTAATTATAGTGGTAGGAAGTGTACAATCTATTAAGTAAAATTATATGACAGAAACCTTCCTTTAAATCTCTACTTCATGACTAGAATTGATTATTATGATCCTAGTGACAGTGACTGGTATTTTTAACCCATCTTATAAAGTAAGACAGTGCCTGCCTACCTCTGTATATCACAGAAAATCATGCACAGAATTCATTAAACTATCTGTGGTATGTTCCCCCAAATACCTCTTGTTTACTCATTTTCCTCAGAGAGATGTGAAGACTTTAACTTGTGCTGTTTGTCGTCACTGGATCAATACTGAATTGTGTATTTGAAAAGGATTTGTGTTTCCCACATTGACACTAATGAAGTCCACAGAACACATTTAGAAGGGACACCTTATTTTTATTTGTATTTCTTCTATAACACAATTAAAGGGAAAGCGAGAACTTGAGGATAGGACAGCGAAAAGAAAGCAAGAAGAAAAGCTAGGAAACATGACGGGACAAAGCCATACATTTGTAAGTACAAGATGGATAAGGCAATGTTCCTGAGAACTATGAGCAGGTTGTTGAAACTAGCAGTTACTTGGTGGGATTCTCACCCTGACTTACTATATATGATGAACTGAGCAACTTCCCTGAAGATAGCGATATGTAATAGTGGGGTCATGCTTGAAATACCTGTCATTCTGGTCTTCTAAATACATGCTGCTTGTCATGACATACTAATTATGGCCAGACTGTATCTCAAGTAAACGTTTGTTGTTGTTTTTAAAAAGGAGTAATAAATGAAAAAGACAAGAAGGAAAAATGTCACAGGACTATCCTGCTACAATGATGTATATGTAACTGTTTATTCATATTTTTAAATTTTTTAATTCTTTTTCCATATTCAGTAAAGACTTAAATTTTAACGTATCAATACTTGATGGAAAATACATGTTCCATCTTATGCCTAAGATGTTTGATATTCAGACAGATAGTGAGGTTAAACCCACCTGCATATGTTGTAGAACAATAATAAGCTTCTCTTCTGGAGGGTT